TGCACATCTAAAACTGCCAAAAGGCTTCAGTAAGCACCATCACTACTTGAAATTTAATTGCTTTTCTGCCGCTCTATAGCAGAAATACTGCTACAGGGAGGTAGGGCTGCGCAAAATCACATATATACACATTTTATATTATATATATATATATATATATATATATATATATATATATATATATATATATATATATATATATACACACACACACACATACATACATACATACACACACATATATATATATATACATATACACATACAGTGGGAATCGAAAGTCTGGGCACCCCAGCTAAAAATTTGGATTAATGTGCATAAAGAAGCCAAGGAAAGATGAAAAAATCTCCAAAAGGCATCAAATTACATATTAGACATTCTTATAATATGTCAACAAAAGTTAGATTTTGTTTCCATCATTTACACATTTACACTTTACACTTTGTTACAAATAACAGAAAACAAAAAAAAAAATGGCGTCTGCAAAAGTTTGGGCACCCTGCAGAATTTATATCATGCACTGCCCCCTTTGCAAAGCTGAGACCTGCCAGTGTCATGGATTGTTCTCAATCATCGCCTGGGAAGACCAGGTGATGTCAGTCTCAAAGGTTTTAAATGCCCAGACTCATCTGACCTTGCCCCAACAATCAGCACCATGGATTCTTCTAAGCAGTTGTCTAGAAAACTGAAACTGAAAATAGTTGACGCTCACAAAGCTGGAGAAGGCTATAAGAAGATAGCAAAGCGTTTTCAGATGTCAATATCCTATGTTCGGAATGTAATTAAGAAATGGCAGTCATCAGGAACAGTGGAAGTTAAAGCAAGATCTGGAAGACCAAGAAAAATATCAGACAGAACAGCTCGCAGGATTGTGAGAAAAACAATTCAAAACCCACGTTTGACTGCACGATCCCTCCAGAAAGATCTGGCAGACACTGGAGTTGTGGTACACTATTCCACTATAAAGAGATACTTGCACAAATATGGTCTTCATGGAAGAGTCATCAGAAGAAAACCTCTTCTATGTCCTCACCACAAAAATCATCGTTTGAACTTTGCAAATGAACATATAGACAAGCCTGATGCATTTTGGAAACAAGTTCTGTGGACCGATGAGGTTAAAATTGAACTTTTTGGCCGGAATGAGCAAAGGTACGTTTGGAGAAGAAGGGGCACCGAATTTAATGAAAAGAAACTCTGTCCAACTGTTAAGCATGGGGTTGGATCAATCATGCTTTGGGGTTGTGTTGCAGCCAGTGGCACAGGGAACATCTCACGAGTAGAAGGAAAAAATGGATTCAATAAAATTTCAGCAAATTTTGGATGGTAACTTGATGCCATCTGTGAAAAAGCTGAAATTAAAGAGAGGATGGCTTCTACAAATGGATAATGATCCTAAACACACACCTCGAAATCCACGGGGGATTACATCAAGAGGTGTAAACTGAAGGTTTTGCCATGGCCTTCACAATCTCCTGACCTCAACATAATTGAAAATCTATGGATAGACCTTAAAAGAGCAGTGCGTGACAGACAGCCCAGAGATCTCAAAGAACTGGAAGACTTTTGTAAGGAAGAATGGGCAAAGATACCTCAAACAAGAATTGAAAGACTCTTGGCTGGCTACAAAAAGCGTTTACAAGCTGTGATACTTGCCAAAGGGGGCAGTACAAGATATTAACTCTGCAGGGTGCCCAAACTTTTGCAGACGCCATTTTTTTGGTTTCTGTTATTTTGAAAGTGTAAATGATGGAAATAAAATCTAACTTTTGTTGACATATTATACGAATGTCTAATCTGTAATTTGATGCCTTTTGGAGATTTTTCCATCTTTCCTTGGCTTCTTTATGCACATTAATACAAATGTTTAGCTGGGGTGCCCAAACTTTCGATCCCCACTGTATGTATACATACACGTGATTTTGCATTTCCAGGTAGGCGGCTCGTGCACCATTGGTGGCCTCGCCTGTCGATCACCGGGTCCCAGCCGATGATTCCCTGCCGGCACCTGGCGATCGCCGAGTATCACTGACGGGGGACAGACCTGTATGTAAACAATACAGATCTCTCCCCTGTACGCTCCTGCACATTGCTTTGTATTGTTCTGCATAGCAGTGCAATACAAAGCAATGTGCTGACACAGTAAAGCACACACAGCACACTGTAAAACAGCACACAGCTAACGCTTTGATCACCCTAGATGTTAACCCCTTCCTGCCCAGTACCATTACAGTGTCAGTGCTTTTTATTAGCACTGATCACTGTATTGGTGTCACTGGGGATGTCAGTGACAGTTCCCCCCCAGTGGCAGAATGCCCACCACAGTCCCGCTATAAGTTGCTGAGTGCTGCCATTACCAGTATAAAACAGCAAAAAAAAAATTCCAGTATATACACACCACCATTTGTAGACGCTTTAACTTTCAAGTAAACCAATTAATTTACACGTATTGGGATTATTTTTTTTTTAGCAAAGACATGTAGCAGAATACATTTTGGCCTAAATTTATGACTAAATTTGATTTTTTAGATGTTTTTACTGGACATGTTTAATAGCAAAAATTCAAAAATGTTTCTCGAAATTGTCTGCCTTTTTTTGTTTATAGCGAAAAAAATTAAAACCGCACAGGCGATCAAACACCACCGAAAGAATGCTCTATTTGTGTGAAAAAAGGACATAAATTTCATTTGGGTGCAGAGTTACATGACTGCGCAATTGTCAGCTAAAGTAACGCAGCGCCGTATCATGAAAAATGGCCTGGTTAGGAAGGGGGGGGGGGTGTAAATCCTCTGGAGGGCAAGTGGTTAATTTAAAAAAAAAAAAAAAAAATCACAACACCTGCTGAATCCTGCTAGCAGCGAGTTTAAAGTGATAGCCAGTTTTCTCATTCAGATCAGTTTTACTATCCTCCAAATAAGGCTGAACATTGCTGCAAAAAGCTAGCTTCACACACTGCTTTTGCACAAGCTGAGGCCTGTGTGAGACATGTATTTGTAAATTTATTCTGAATCTCTTGCCTTAAATTGCAGTCATAATCACTCACGTACTGTCTCAGTGACACAGCAGGAAGCAAGGCCGACCACAAACCTAAGGTGATCACATTAATTTAACCGAAGATTTCACAAGAAAAAAATGCCTTTATGCAACACAAGCAATGGTCTCAAACTGTATCCTGTTAAACCCTTCACAGAACTGAAGTTCAGTATATCAAACATACACTGACTTTGTTACATCATAAAAAGTACATTTTATTTTGCATTCATTATATACATTATGTATCTGTATATGTATACTCATCAGCTGTTTGTAGGTATGAGCAGCCATAGAGAAAAGACAAAATGAACATAGGGGCAATGTGCAGTTTTCTCCAATTTTAAACACAGGAAAAATAAAGAGTACAAGAGAAGAGAGACAGAACAAGAATTTTGCATGGAAAATAATTTGCACTCTCTTTGCCACAAAGAAAACAGGATAATAAATAGAAATTTATGCTAAAACCTTAAAGAATGAACGTACATGAAAACACTACACAGAGAAATCACAGTGCCTGGATACAAGTGTAAACTTTGAAAGAGGGGAAGGCTTCAACACTCTTTAACCAATTACATCGGACCATTAGAAAAAGAATGACTTGAACATCAATGTAATTAATACTATTTAATAACAAAAAACAAATAAAGCTGTACAAATGGGGATAACAACTCTTACATACAATAAAAATTGACATTTAAAATCCATTTGAGCAGATTTACCATTTAAAAAGTGCAGGAACACTAGGTGGTGTTCTCCATAACAAGCAGATTCCACCTTACATTTTTCTTAAGTAGGTTAAGAAATCCACATATTACTATTTGCTATGGGTAACATCCCTATATGTTTGCTTTGTAAATCAAGCCATATGTCATAAATGTCAGTCTGTGCAAACATTTTAATAATTTAAAAATCAATTCTATGAACATACTCTATTGAAGTAGCCACTGTGCTACTGCACTTAAAATGGCATTTTCACACTTTGGATCTATTCTGGTAAATGTAGCTCATCTGTCAAGGTGATACAACCATTGGCTGTCCAAATACAAAATCCAGAATACGCTACTTAACAGCAGCTGCCAGTCTGACAAGTGATAAGAACTGAAACGTTTAATGTCTAATCTTGCAGACAACACAGTTAATGCTTACACAGGAAACTTAAAGATTATTCACTTTCTGAACATATTTTTTAGGTGAAAAGTGAACAGATTCTTATTGCAGCACTGTTACGGAGTAGCGGTAGGATGACCTTGCTTGTGGAGAAAGGAACAATGGTTACCCCTGGCATGGAAGTAAAATAGCACCTGTGCTTCCTTTGGTGTTTTTAATAAAAAATAAAATATGACAGCATGCTAATAACATCATGACAGAGATGTATGCATTTAGAGTATTGTTTACTGCCAGCACACATTGAAGGCAGCCATTTTGAAGACTGGGCTAATGTTTATGAGTTTTCAATTCATTGGGGATTAGTGATATCACTTAAGAATTATTCCTCAAACATCCATGTATTTCCAGTTCCAAACAGGCAAATCTGTTTCATTGTGTGCCTCCATTGTATATGATAAATACAGTTATTGGGAAAGAGTCATTATCCAGATTTTGTTTTTTCTTTTTTACAAGAAGGAATGTCCTAAGCAAAAACGGTGGCTCTCACACTCATTCAAAATAACTAGAACTCAATGTAATGATGAAATATAGATCTACCTTTGTTTTTGTCTGATATAAAATATCTTTACAGTGTACAGAGTTCATAACAATTGCATGATTGCAGCCCAGCAATCAGCATGGCTAGACAGATGATCCGAAAAGATTTTCAAGAGGAGGCTTGTTTTCCAGAACCATCCTTTGCAAATGGTTTTCATTGTTTATAGATTACTATGTTCATTAAATAAAATGGCAACTGGTTCCCATGCCAGAAACAAAAACTAGTTCACAAGTAAATCAGGCCTAGTTCGAAAAGCAAGTGATTAGTTGACCTCTGAGACTGGTGATGTTTCTGCAGGTCGAGGAGTAGATAGGAGGGGCACAGGAGAGGTAGCCTCTATTAATGCAGGATTAAGGATGATTGGCAGAGACATTGGTGGAACTCCAACCTGCAGAGGAGATGTTAGGGGGTGCAAGATGAGAGGTGGCTGATTTATAGGAGGAGGAGGTATCTCTGTCACCGGGCTCATCCTCATGGGTGCACAGGAAGGGCTAGATCCAGGAATTGGAACTGCAGATAATCCAGGGCTTGTACAATCATTTTCTGTGGATAAAGAAAATAAATAGCTTGCATAAAAACTTAAAAGACCCACAAAAACAGCCCGGCACCCATAAAACACACACACATACAGAAGCAATTTACATTTCCTGGGTAATTAACCAGTTCTAAACCTTGGGTATACCAGGTGCGTCCTAAAACATAACACCACAACAGACCACTCTATCAAAGGACTTGATAAAAAAAAAAAAAAAAATGATGAATTATTTTCAGCAGATGATTTTGTTGTGACCAATTACAAAGAAGTCAATTTATTCAACTTATGTGTGTAAAAACAAGTCTTATTGGACTGTTTACAGAAAAAAAGGCATATGATGAAACACCAATCCAATGAAATATGCCCCTGCTGGTTTTCAGCTGCTACTGAGCCCTGAGGCTGACTGGGTGTCTGTATGCTGATCTGGCGCCATCTTGTTCCTAGCAGCACCAATGAGGCTTAAGTAGATAATATCGGCTTGCTTTAAGTTCACCTTTCAAATTAAGTGTGATTTAGCTTCTTTCCTTCTGCATTTAATAAAATTGGATTACACTCTTAGATTGCTCTGTGGGATTGTCGGCAATCCATGGTGCATGGATTCTCCTAGGGTCCCTGATACGAGATGTGAAGATTGGCTCCAACTTTGATGGATAATTTAAAAAGCTGACATTTGACCTTTTGTAATACAAACGTCAAAAATATTTGGCAAGTTTTGCTTACCACATGGTGTTTGGATGCTGTGATACACTGGGAAATGCACTCCTAAAGTGGTATTAAATCCAAAATCAAACATTTACTATATTGTAGCTTACCAATTCTAAGATGTGATCTTAGATTTTTTTTTAGGCTGTCTCTCATATATTTTCACCTAGTGATCTGGCCAGTAAGTCTGCTTTTTTTTTTTTTTTTTTTAAATTGATATGTTATTAGTTTTAACATTACAATAAATCAGGGGTGGGCAACTGTGGCCCTCCAGCTGTTGGTGAACTACAAGTCCCACCATCTCCCTACCTTTGGGAGTCATGCTTGTAACTGTCAGTTTTGCAATGCCTCATGGGACTTGTAGTCCTACAACAGCTAGAGGGCCACAGTTTCCCACCCCTGCAATAAATAAATCATTACTTTACTTGATCATTACAAAACATTTTTCTCTACATATTGTCCCCAATACCCCCCCCCAACCCCTTTAACCACACTCCATTTGTTTTCTTATGTTCTTCCTATTCCTCCTATAGCCTCCTTCCATTCTTCTAAGTTATTTTCCCTATTTTCTCTTCTCGTTTTTCTTTCCTTTTCTTTCCTTCCTTTTCCCTTTTAGATATTATTCTTTCTTCTCTTCAATCTCTATTCCTACGAGTTCAGCTATTTGAACGTTTAAACTCATTCCATTTTTCCCATGTTCTTTTAAAATTCTCAATTTTTATCTTCTGCAATATGGTATAATTCCTCCATCCTATATATACAGTCTATCCTACTTATCCAATCCTTTATTTTTGGTGCCTCTTGAACTTGCCAAAATTTTGGTATTAATCCCTTTGCTGCATTTATCAAATGGAATATTATCATATTCTTATACTTTTCCACTGAGAGCTTGGTCTTATGGAATAAACATATACCTGGATCCTTTAAGATACTAATCCCCAGAATCTCCTGTATTTTGTGAGTTATTTCTTCCCAGTACTCCTGTATCTTGGGGCAATACCACAATATATGTGCCATTGTACGCTTAATCCCACACCCTCTCGAACACATAGGTGACTTCTCTATTTGTTGCTTATGTTGCCACATTAGGTGTAATATACCATCTTGCTAAGCATTTATATAGAATTCATTTCCACCACCTTCATGTCTACTGCCCCCTGTGTTAATCTAAATATATTCTTGTTTTGCTGTTCAATAAGTAGTATTCCAAGTTCCGTTTCCCACTTTTCCATATACAGTTGTGTTCAAAATAATAGCAGTGTGTTGAAAAAAGTGAATAAAGCTCAAAATCCTTCTAATAGTTTTTATTTCCATACACACAAATGCATTGGGAACACTACACATTCTATTCCAAATCAAAACATGAAGAAAAATATATCAAATTTGTGTTGTTCCTCTAAAAAAAAATTGAAGAAAAGTGATTAGACTGTTCAAAAAAATAGCAGTGTTTGTATTCTTCTTTACAAACTCAAACATTCACTATATAAACTGAAAAATGTTTGAAGATTTTGCTTTCCTTTGAATCACTTAATATTTAGTTGTATAACCATGGTTTCTGAGAACTGCTGTACATCTGTGTTGCATAAAGTCAACCAACTTCTGGCACCTGTGAACAGGTATTCCAGCCCAGGATGATTGGACTACATTCCACAGTTCTTTATTTCTTGGTTTTGCCTCAGCAACTGCATTTTTGATGTCACCCCACAAGTTTTCTATTGGATTAAGATCCGGGGATTGGGCTGGCCACTCCATAACGTCAATCTTGTTGGTCTGGAACCAAGATGTTGCACGTTTACTGGTGTGTTTGGGGTAGTTGTCTTGTTGGAACACCCATTTCAAGGGCATTTCCTCTTCAGCATAACCTCTTCAAGTATTCTGATGTATTCAAACTGATCCATGATCCCCGGTATGTGATAAATAGGACCAACACCGTAGTATGAGAAACATCCCCATATCATGATGCTTGCGCAACCATGCTTCACTGTCTCACAGTGTACTGTGGCTTGAATTCAGTGTTTGGGGGTCGTCTGACAAACTGTCTCTGGCCACTAGACCCAAAAAGAACAATCTTACTTTCATCAGTCCACAAAATGTTGCGCCATTTCTCTTTAGGCCAGTCAATGCGCTCTTTGGCAAATTGTAACCTCTTCAGCACGTCTTTTTTTCAATAGTGGGACTTTGCGGGGGCTTCTTGCAGATTGCTTGGCTTCACATAGGCGTCTAATTGTAAGAGTACTCACAGGCAACTTTAGACCTTCTTTGATCTTCCTGGAGCTGATTGTTGGTGGAGTCCTTGCCATTTTGACTATTCTTCTATCCATTCGAATGGTAGTTTTTCGCTTTCTTCCACGTCTTTCAGGTTTTGGTTGCCATTTTAAAGCATTTGCGATCATTTTAGCTGAGAAGCCTATCATTTTCGGCACTTCTTTATATGTTTTCCCCTCTCCAATCAACTTTTTAACCAAGGTACGCTGTTCTTCTGAACAATGTCTGGAACAACCCATTTTCCTCAGAATTTCAGAGAGAAATGCACTGTAACCAGCATGTACAACATTTGCTGCCTTCCTTCCTTAAATAAGGGCAATAATTGCCACCTGTTTTTCAAAGAATGAATGACCTCACTAATAGAACTCCACACTGCTATTATTTTGAACATGCCCCTTTCAATTAGTGATTCAATTACACAGAATCAGCAGCATGCATGTCATGACTGTTGGGTCTGTTGGATTTCTATTACTCTAACTACACCTGCTAGTAAATTATTTGCCATGTAGAAATATAATTTCTACCAAAAACAGTGATTGACCAGGTTAGTGATGTCTGACTGCTATTATTTTGAACACAACTGTACAACAGGGAGGTGGATCCTGCTTATAAGGATCTTATAAATATGCGAAGTACTGTGTTTCCATATCTTACTTGCACTAAACAATTGTTCAAATCCTCCATTGTCCTAAGTGGCTGTGGAAGCATTGTGACAAAATGTTTTAATTGAAAATATTGCCATTCATCATAAAGAGCAACTCCTTTGTATTTTTTAGCTCCTGAAAGGAGCATATTTCTCCTTTTTCCAGTATATCTTAATTGTGTATCCCAATTTTTAATCAATTTACCAAAAATATCCTCTTTCCCTGTCAGGAAAAAATTTGTTCCCACCAGCGGTATTAACAGTGAATTATACTCCCCTTCCGTTTGTAAATTACATCCCATATCTTAAATGACATTTCGTGTGAAAATGCTTGTTCTTTCAGCCAACATACTGCTGATGTGGAAGCCAAATAATCCTATCTAATTGTATCTCACTTAATGCGTTTTCTATTTTAACCCAACTTTTCCCTTGTGCGTTGTATATCCAATCAAATATTCATGATAACAATACGGAATGATAATATCTCTTAAAATCCGGTACGTTTAGACCCCCTTTTATTTATCTCTACTCAGCACTTCATATTTTTGATCTCGGTTTTTTATTTCCCCATATATACTGTATCTCAATATTTTTTTGACGGTTTTAAAATACAATCTTGGTAGATATATTGGTAACATATGTAGTTTAAGTTTAAGTAATATTAACATCTTTACCATATTAATTCGTCCTAGCCAAGAAAGTGATCTTATAGATATTCTTTTCAATTCATCTTTTATTGCAATTATTAATGGAATATAGTTTACTTTGTATAAGTTTTTGAGTGGCGAGGTCAATTTTATTCCCACAGGCTTTTTTTGTAAAAGGAAATTCCCTCTGCAAGGCCTTTTTTCTATTATCGGGACATTGATATTTAAGATCTCAGATTTTGACATATTTATTTTTTAAATTTCATAGGTCTCCGTAATGCTTTAATATTTTCATTAAATTGGGTAGCGTCAGCCTAGGATTTACCACATAGAATAACATATCGTCAGCATATGCTGCAACCTTATGTTCTATTTCCTCTATTTTTATCCAGTTTACATCCTGGCTGTTTCACACACCATTGCAAGAAGAGTCTCTAAAGATAATACAAACAACAGGGGCGAAAGCGGACATCCCTGTCTTGTCCCATTGAGCATTTTAAAAAACTTTTGACGAGCCACTTACCTTCACCGCCACTGAAGGTTGACTAAAGCCTTTCTATCCATTTTCTCATTTTAAGTCCGACTCCCAATGCCTCTAATGTATCCATTATCAAACCCCCAACCCTGTCAAAGGCTCTCTCAGCATCTATCGATGGGACCAATACGAGTGATTTTTCGCTTATCCTTTTGTATAAGAAGTAATGATCTTAGCCTATTATCTCTTCCTTCTCTCCCAGGGATGAACCCCACT